GTTTTGAACCACCAACCTCTCACATTTTAAACCTTTCCCACCACACTCTCTCCACTATGCCACCATAACACCACATGAATATATATGCAAAATATATTATTTATATAGTATATTGACCCGTATTAATATAAAACTATATATATGAACACAATTATTTTTATTCAATATAATTTATGTAAAAAATAAATTATTTATTAAAAAAAAAAGGAAGCCACTTTTGGTGACTAAATTTTTTTTTAGTCGCCAAAAACCTTAGTTTCGGCTACTACCAATAATTTAGTCGCTAAAAAAATTAATTTCCGCCTAAAAATAACCACTTTCGGCGACTAAGTCGCCAAAACCTCCACTTTTGCCGACTAAACTAAATTTTAGTCGCCAATTGTCCACTTTTAGCTACTAATTTTTTTTTTTGGTAGCCAAAAACCTTTACCTTTGGCTACAAAATTTTTTTTTTTTGTCGGTAAAACACCTATAATCGGTGACCAAACTATTTTTTAGTCGCCAAAACCTATCCGCTCGAAAACTTAAAGCTCGCTCGAGCCAAGAAAGACAGCTCTCAGGTCCAGAACCAGGTGCAACCGCTCGCTCGAGCGAGCCACTCTGGCTCGACCCACCAGACACGAACCCCACTCTCGCTCGAGCGACCAACTCCTCGCTCGAGCGAAGGTCCAAAATTCTGGGCAGCAACACTTGGCTCCCGAACACAACCAACCTGTAACAAACCTGCCCAACACATCCTATAACTCAAATATGAAGAAAAATGATTGTAAACACGATAATAACCAACTACCAACATCCACGGACACATGTCCGGATCACTGTACAACAAGGGTAAACCCGGGATCGCTATAACCTGTATCCACATTTCAACAGATATGCATATTAGCTATATCAACACTTCCAATGACAAGCATATGAGCTGTATCAACACTTCCAATAACAAGCATATGAGCTGTATCAACACATCATCTAACAAGCATATGAGCTGTATCAGTGGAGTCCATCCCCTATCTCCTCCCAAACAACATCCGGTTTAGAGGTTCATCCCCTATCTTCCCCTAAACCGTGGAGTACATCCCCTATCTCCTCCCACACGCACAATGCATATATACTCAAAGGTCATATACACAATCAATCATTACATAACATTAATGTATTCTGTCAACCGTCATACCCTATGACATATCCAATGATTAGTTTTAGTTTGCCTAATCATCATGCATTGTCTACAACAATCAAAACTACCCTCCACCGGTAGCCCAAGCAATTATTTCTAAACAGATAATAAAAGCTCCAACAGATAAAATATCAATGTTTTCAAAAGTGAGCGATTAACAAATCTAACTCCACTATTCAACCATATAATGACGCAATTCCATTATTTCCAACTTAATTCCATATAACCACAATTTCCTCAAATTAATCATACCAATTAATTTATACAACCAATTAGGGTTTTCTACCCCATTTCTCAATATTAACCCAATGGTCTATATTTCAACAACCAACAACAATAACACCATTTTGAAACCCAAATACATATTATGAGCCCAAAATCACAAAATCCTCTTTAACACATTTTGAAACCCTAAGTTCCAAAATTTCCCAAATTCAACACTTTATCAAAACAACTAAAAATCTAGGTCAAAGACCATAAAAGTGAGTAGGAACCCCTACCTCAAAAGATGAGACCCAAGAAAGAAGATGGTGAAAACGAAGTTGCTTCAAACCAAGAGTTCCTCGGATCAAAAGATAGCCCTCGACGATCAACAACCTTTTTGTAAAGACCAAAGGTGAGGAAAACACCCTAGCTAGATCAATATCTAGAGAGAAGGCAAGGTTTTAGAGAGAGAGGCTCTCAAATGGCTTTTTCAAAAAAGTAAGAGAGAGAAAGGATGAGAAAAAGTGATTTAAAACTGCCTCACAGCCAACTGATATACGACATTCCCGCTCGAGCGGAAAACACAACGCTCGAGCGTCAAGAACAAAAACTAGGCCCGCTTGAGTGCAAAAGGACCCGCTCGAGCACCAAGACACAAGAATAAAGTAAACCCGCTCGAGCGCGAAAACCAGTCCGCTCGAGCGTAGATTTCCCCCTCCCAGAACTTACACCCAAAAGTAGTACCCGCTCGAGCGCCAAAGTAACCGCTCGAGCACCACCGCTCGAGCGCAAAGAAACCCACTCGAGAGTAAAAATAACACCTGCAGAAGTTTTGCAGGGACACGAAATACTGGGGGTGTGCAATCTCCGTTCGAGCGCAAGAAAACCCGCTCGAGCGGACCTCCTAAAAACTGGGTAACAAGGGATTGAAACCAAGGCCTAACCAACCTGTAACAACCCTGCCCAAAACATCCTAAAACTCAATCAAGCGGAATTAAAGGGCGACAACAAGATAGATACAACTACCATCATCACGGAACCGAGTCCGAAATACAACAGAACAGTAAAGGGACAACCGGGATCGCTATACAGGCCTTCGGTAATCTCGGATTACTGGCCGGTTACGGTACTAAACCCATAGGGGCGGGTTTGGGTCGTGACAATTAACATGAGTTATTGAAAGCACTATACATATATATAATATATGTATTTTAGTTCCAATATATGTTTCCTTTATTTTAGACTTAAGCTATACACCAAGTCTTGCCCTTTTTGTTCAATCAGGTCTGCTATTTTGATCTCAGAGAATAATCAACAAGCAACAGCGATAAAGAGCAGAAAATGAGAAAAACCAATTAATTGTGGAGGACGATTGATTCAAAAAATCGCCCTAAAACTGAAGCCTGAATAAACAGTTTATATAACCAATCAACACTACATAAACAAACTTGTTTAACTTTGAAACGTAGCTATTAGATTGTAGCAAAGCCATTTTAGTCTTAAGGCTAATGAATTACTAATAAAAATAAAAGGCATTTTAGAAGTTCCTCTAGTTTTATCATAATTTTATACATGTATTGTTTCCCCTCCAAAATTTCAAGTCCCTTTCACACAATTCCTACCAACATTCCACTAACAACAGAGGAGAGGGAATTTAATAAATGGCACTGCAATTAGATTTTTGCTAAAATTCCAAACCAATATCAAGGACTCACATCAGATAGAATTCAAACAACAAATTCAAACAACTCAACATAGCGATGAAGAGCAGAGAAAGGGAGCGAGTTCGAAGTCTTACCTTGCGAGTGCGAATTCGAAGGGAGTCGAAGGAAAAACAACGTCGTTTGAATTGCAGCAAGGGAAATTCTCCCTGTATTCCAGTCAGTAAATTTTCTATCAACGCTATAATTTTAATTTCGAATAGATTTCTTCATTTAGAACAAAGGCAGAAAGAGGTGGGGAAAAGGAAACTTTAAAATATAAATTTCACGGGAGGGAATGCTCTTAAAGCCCAAACATGAAATGAGATGAGTTGCACTTCCTGCTGGTATAAATTAGTTACTATAACATTAAAAGAACAATAAGAATAACACACCAAACCATAAAATTAAAGGCTGAAACAACAAAAGTTGAGAGAGAAAGAAAGAGAGGAGTGAAACAACAAAATCTGAGAGAAATAACTTACCTGAGTGATCTCTGATGAGAGAAAAGAAGGAAACAACAAAAGCTGAGAGAGAATGGAAACTAACTAAACCCTCAATTTTGCCAACAACCCCAAAATAGAACATTTCACAGCAGCAAAACTTTGAAATTGAACAAAGAAAATTGAATAAAATTTACCTGAAAAAAGTCAACGAGCATTTTTATAAACATAGGTATTGCAGAAAATGTAAACATGGGAACTTCATACTCAATTAGTCTTCCCTTTTTTACTCAATTACTCCATTACTTTTTTGCAAAAAATGTGAACATAGCTATTCCAGAAATTAGAGCCAAAAAAAAAATAGAGAAATGAGAGAATGGTAAGAATTTTCACTCTGTTTATTCTCTCTTTGCTGAATGGCTTTTATGGACAGATGACCAATTTTTTTTTGTGTTTTGTTTTTTATGGGTCTCCTATTTGTAGATTATGAGAATTTCCACCCAAATAAGAAGAAGGAAGCACCAAAACGGGATGAGCAAAAATCAGAGTCAAAAGGTAAGTTAGTAACTTTTTATTTACAATTTATTCCATGTGAATTGTGGATTCGGTGTTGTATTCTTGTCATTGATGACAATGCTGCTGAACTAATCTTCCATTTGGGTGTCAAGAAAAAATGGGAAAGAGATTGTAAGGGGAAAAAAAACACTCATCAGTTCTACAGTGAGCAAGAAATTGGGTACCCATTAATTGAAGAACTGAAGAATGAAAACACAAAAACAAACACAGCCACAAAAACAAACACAAAGAGAGAAGGAAAATGGCAGAGAAAGGCAGCAAAAACAACGGATGAAGGCAAGAGCAAATAAAGGGGAAAAAAACTATACTGGAATTAAGAAAGGTTGTAAGGAAATCTTACCTTGCGATGAAGTGGAGTGTAACGAATGAGGAAGAAGAGGAGCATCGGTAACGAAGAGGGTGGGTGTCGATGAAGAGAATTGAAATCGAAGGGTTGATGAAGAGGAGCGTGACGGAGGAGGAGGATGAGGAGGAGAATGAGCGTTGGTTGTGATAGAGAGGTGAGTTTTTTTGCTTCTGTTCATGAAGAAGAACAGAGGGAGAGAGAGAGAGAGAGAAAATGTGGGGTGGGTGAGACGTGGCGGAGCGTCAGTAGTGATGGAGAGGGTGGATTTTTTGCTTCTGTTAACAGAGACTAAGAGAGAGAAATACAGAAGGAATGTGGGGGAATGGGGTCAGACGTGGATAGATGGGTATATTTAGGTGGCAATCATCATTCATCTAAACCTATCTCAACCATTGATATATACTTAAGATTCATCTCAACTATTAATATCAAATATATCTCTGATACATTTTATATATTTTTAAAAATTCTCTCCCCTTGTTATATAGATATATCAAATAATGATATAGCACACCGTTATTTATAATATAAGTATAATTTATCAGGAGAATGTGTATTTTAAAGGTACACTCCTAATCACCAAAACCCAATCCATAGCTTCTTCTTCATCATCTTCCTTATCCAACACTCTCACATCACAAGAACAGAGGAGAGAGAACAATGTCCCTAACCTCCTCTCTCCTTCAACTCCCTCTCTGCCAATTCAAATCTCTCTCCCTCACCACCCCCTTCCTCCATGGCTCCTCTTCCACCTCTCTCCTCCACAAACCCTCTTCCTCTCTCTCTCCTCCCAACCCACTTCCCCTCACTTTCCTCCCCCCCATCCGAGCCATGAAAACGCTTCAGGGCCGAGTCGTCTGCGCCACCAACGACAAGACCGTGGCGGTTGAGGTGGTACGACTCGCTCCGCACCCAAAGTACAAGCGACGGGTCAGGAAGAAGAAGAAGTTCCAAGCTCACGACCCAGATAACAAGTTCAAAGTCGGCGACTATGTCCAGCTCGAGAAGAGTGGACCCATTAGCAAAACCAAGACTTTTATTGCTATTCCGATCGCTGCGAGGAATGTGCCCAAGCCGAAGGAGGTCGTGCCGCCGGAGCTTGGGCTTCCATTAGAGTCTCAGCAAACCTAAAAGTGAGCTTTGTTTTGTATGTCATTGGTCTTTGATTATCTGGGTCTGCTTCAATTTTCTGTTTTCTTCAATAATTTGTACTTTCTTTGTAATTTGTGGATAGTTTTGTTGATGGGTATGCTTTGGATTGAATTGCTTTGAATGCTTTCAATTGGTATGTGAATGGGTTTTTTGTTCATCACTTGGTGGAATTTTCTCTTAGAAACAGTTTTGATCCTATTGAGGTAGTTTTTAACCATGAATGGAGGTCTATCAATGAATGTAGTGATTAGGCTAACGCCCTTTACACAGAAGAGTTGTGTATAATGTGTTTGTGAAATTGCCAACAAGAGAAATTGACTGGCGAAGGAGGTCATGCCACCGGAGCTTGGGCTTCCATTAGAGTCTCGGCAAACCTAAAAGCGAGCTTTGTATTGTATGTCATTGGTCTATGATTATCTGGGTCTGCCTGAATTTTACTTTCTCAGTAATTTTGTGGATAGTTTTGTTGATGGGTATGCTTTGGATTGAATTGCTTTCAACTGGTGTTTGAATGGGTTGTTTGTTCATCACTTGGAGGAGTTTTCTTATGTAGTTAGAGGCAGTTTTGATTCTATTGAGGTAATTTTCAAACATGAATGGAAATCTATCAATGAATGTAGTGATTAGGCTACACACCCTTTACACAGAAGAGTTTTATATAATGTGTTTGTAAAATTGCCAATAAGAGAAATTGGGTGGTTTTGGTCACTCTTTGGATGCATAAAAACCCTCTTTAGAACTAGTTGTCAGTAAGAGAAGCTCTGTTGAAGTTCTATGGGTACAATTGTTCTTCTCATTCCATAATTGTAAACATTGAACACAATTGTTGCCCCACCTCAGACATTGAAGACATGAATCCTTAGGGGACCATTATTTATTATTCTTTTCATCCTTCAATTGTGATTTTGAGATTAAACTGCTGTTTGAGGGCAGTTAATCCAAGTATGTGAAGGTCGAGATTGAAGCACTGGATGACTTCTGTTGCATATCTAAAGAATGTTAAGGGTATGTTAGACCTCCACATAGCAATGAATTAAAGTAGATAAATGAATTGATTTGGCAAGCGAATGACTTGGAATTATTGAAGACTTTTGAAATAACTTTTGGGGATGATTTTGAGTTTTAGTGAGTATTAATTACCAAATGTTCAGAGTGTATCTACAATAATTGAATGATTTTCCAACATGTTCACCTTATCTCCCGCCTTTCAGAAAGTTTGCATATGATAATCATTCAATTATATATGGTTTAATTTCAGGGCTCAAATTTCCTGGATAACATTAGTTTACAATACAATCATGAGGACTGTTGCTGAACATTATTTTAGATGGCAATTTAATTTCCTAAGCAAATGAACAACCTTGTTTATCAGAAAGAACCAGATTGTGCTAACTTTCCTGGGGTTCAATTCTGAGTCCTTAAATTATTTGTTCATGTTGATAATATATGATCGACCTGGTTGTTTATTTATGCTTTCATCAAGAATTTAAGTGGTCATCATATGGTTTGTGTGAGCTATGGTGGTCTACATAACTTGACACATCCCAAAACCACGCCCCGAAAACCAACCATTTTGTTGTCGATAAGCAATTAATGGAGAACTTGATTTTGTTTGGGGGTTAGGGATTAAAGATCCTTGCTGGTAGACTGTCTTCTTCATGATCACCCACTGAACCAGATAAGTTGTCCTACTGGTCTAGGCGAGATTACATTGACTGCAAAATATGAAGAAAAAACCGGCATCTGTGCTATTCCATGAATTCTAGTCCTGATTTGTCGTGGTGTCTTCAAAATCCAGAAGGATGTTTGGTGGTCTTTACTGGAGTCTTACAACCATGAAGTGTGTTACTAACTTTAAATGGTTTTTCGGTTTGTTAGCTAAAACCTTTTCGTTTTAAAAATGCAACGGTGATCAAACAATTGGTTGGTAAAAAAATTAAAAATTGAACAACAGCAATATGGTGAAAATTGTGTGTTGTTAATTATGATACACTAGCAACCAAAAAAAAAGAATTATGATACACTACAATGACGCGGACCACGTACATTTCACTGTCACCACACATGGTGCAACTTATCTGAACTATTTATAGTTTTTTTATTTTTACAGTATGTGTCAAACTGTTTGGTATAATTTTTGTTTATAACTTATTTTTAAAAGTTAGATAAGAGGTGTATTTGGCCTCTGTTTTTTGAATTTTTAACTTACAATAAACAACACCAAACAAATACCATTATAAATAATGAGAAAAATTATAAACGTATTAGCTCCTTTCATTTGATTCCACGAAAATAACCAAGAAAGAAGGTTATAAGAAAAACCGTAAATAACAAATACTAATAAGGTTTTCTTACATATGTTTTTGGCTTAATGAAGAAATTGATTAACGAAATTTTCTTTTAATTATGTTACTCCAATGCATTTAGCGTGTTTAGTTGTTTTCAAGAAAAAAATCAACAACTAATTTTTACACTTGGTGAAGTGAGAATTTTTCATCTCCCGTCAATCCAATTATTTTTCATCTCCCGTCAATCCAACTATCCTCACAGCTGGTAGATTGATTGAATATTTTGACGAATTTAAACTAATGTTTTGGGTTGATTGGACAAATTAAAAATACAAAATATAAAAGAACATTAATGACCATACAACCTTAATTTTTTTACAATTTTAAACAAAAATTGATTTTTTTATTTCAAATCTTGACACACAAATTACAAATTAATTGAATGCATGATATATTCAAAAGTATATTTCATAAATTAATATACAAAATACTTCCAAAAAAAAAAAAAATTATACTATGCACACACAAAACTTGCATCATTATTTCACTTAAAGAATTTTTCCAACCAAGCACCATCCTACTTTGGTTATTATAGGTGTGTATCATAGGTTAATTATGACATTTGTAGTGTTAATTAGCATAAAAATTATAAATATAATTAAATGTCACATAAGGTGTAATTAAAAAAAAATTCAATCATAATTAAAATAATATTTACAATGAGTGATAACACACAAATGAGTTATAACTAAGTAATAATTAATATCACGATTGGTCAAAATTAAATATCACAAACATATAACTGGATAAGTCTACGTGGTTTAATTTTTTAAAAATTGTTTTTACATGAGTTGTCATATACTTTTAGTGATTTTTTTATTTTATTTTATTTTTTTTGTACTTTTTAGATGCACCTAAACTTGCATCATTATTTCACTTAAAGAATTTTTCCAACCAAGCACCATCCTACTTTGGTTATTATAGGTGTGTATCATAGGTTAATTATGACATTTGTAGTGTTAATTAGCATAAAAATTATAAATATAATTAAATGTCACATAAGGTGTAATTAAAAAAAAAATCAATCATAATTAAAATAGTATTTACAATGAGTGATAACACACAAATGAGTTATAACTAAGTAATAATTAATATCACGATTGGTCATAATTAAATATCACAAACATATAACTGGACAAGTCTATGTGGTTTAATTTTACAAAAACTGTTTTTACATGAGTTGTCATATACTTTTAGTGTTTATTTTATTTTATTTTATTTTTTTGTACTTTTTAGATGCACCTAATTAAGATGCATCTAAAAATTAAAACAAATTGGCTAGAAATATATTTAAAAAATTATTAAAAATAAACAAAAATTCGAATAAAAATTCGTATGTATTTTTATTCAGATTTTCATTTGTTTTTATTTTTTTTTATTATTTATTTTTTTATATTTCAATTTAAAAAATTTACTTTTTAGATGCATCTAAAAAGTTTAAATACATATATATATATATATATATATATATACATAATTCATCAAAAAACAAATCATAAAAACAAGGGCTTGGCTTCTCTTCAGTTGGGACTGGAGAGATACTGGTAGGCCCATTAGACTTACTTTTGCGCCTACTTTTGAGCCATGTTTCAATAATCTAAACCGTTCATATTTTTAGATTCGTCGAGTATATCAATCTTTCTAAAAATCAAGTTGATTAGATAACGGAAATCACATGTTTATATCAATTTCGTATGAAAAAAAAAATAGACAATGAGAAAATAAAAAGTTTATACAAAATTGATCCCAACACGTGATTTTAACTATCCGATCAACTTAATTTTGTGTACGGATGATGACCTATTTCGAAAAGTCGGTTAAAAGATGATTTTTTTTTTTTTGAAAAAATATGCAAAAAAAATAGAGAAGTGATATGATCCAAAAAGCTGAAAAATTGATTTTTAACCATATTGCCAAAATAACGGAAATCACGTGTTTGGATCAATTTTGTATGTAAAAAAAAAAAAACAATGAGAAAATAAACAGTTTATACAAAATTGATCTCAACACGTGGTTTTCATTATCTGATCAACTTAATTTTGTGTAAGGATGATGACATATTTCGGAAAGTAGGTTAAAAGATGATTTATTTTTATTTGTTTTGACTTTTTATTGAAAAACATGCAAAAAAAATAGATAAATGATATGATCCAAAAAGCTAAAAAATTGATTTTTAACCATATTGCCAAAATATGGTTTTTTATTTTTATTTTTTTGACTCTTTTTTGAAAAAATATGTAAAAAAATGGAGAAGTGATATGATTCAAAAACTAAAAAATTGATTTTTAACAATATTACCAAAATAGGCCGATATACTCTACTAATCTTAAAACATAAATAATTTAAATTATCAAAATAAAACTTAAAAGTGATCCCAATAAATCGGATTAAACCATCCATCCAAAAGTAGAATAGAGAGTAGGGGTAAGCAGCGGATATCCCGGCCCGTCCAAAATCAACCTAACCCGACCCGCCGCATGTTGGACGGTTGCATGATGACGAGTGGACGGTTGCAAATTGATTTTTTTAATCCGCCTAGTTTTAGACGGATTATAGATTTGAGATTCCTTTAACCGCAACTGAACCGGCAAATCGCGAGCATCCCCTAATAATTTGTAAGATTTTATATTTCCAATTTGTTTAGATATTCTATTTGTGTTTTCAATTGAAAAAAAGTTAAGGTGCCGTTTGGTAACACTTACGTTTTCAGTTTTCTGTTTATATTTATAAAAATTTAAAAAACTCAAATAAAAACTTGTTTGGTAAAATTTTTGATTTATAAATCAGTAGTCTCAGTTTATAAATTTGGCCAAAAAATGAAAACACAAAAAATGTGTTTCCGTTTTGAGTTTTGATTTTTTTTTTTTTTACCACCCAACACTAGTCCCCACCCGCCACCATTTTCTACCACCGTCTTCCGCCACCACCCCCCACCACCCGCCACCATTTTCCACCACCCCCCTCCTAGAAAATCCTATATCAAGTACTTGTATCTTAATTACTCCATAAAATATTTTTATATTCTAATAAGTTCTATTATTTTGAACATTTAATCTATCAAATCCTAATTCTTATATTTAAGAAAATTTATAAACAATTTTACTGTTAAAAATATTTTTTGAATCCTTAGCAACTTGGTGTGCACTATTTTGGACTATTTTGAATCCTTAAAAACATTCACACTGTCAAATTTATTTAATGTGAATATTTACATTATGAAATATTCACAATCAATGTGAACATTAATAAGCATTTTATCCTATTATTATTAGGGGTGTTTTGGTAACTATGTCACCCATATGACTTATTGAAATATAAGAAAATAATTTAAATTAAGTAGAATATAACTAAGTGAAGAAGAGTTTGTCAATAAATACCATTTTTAATATTTAATGTTATATGTTAGGCCTCTTAAGTTTTTTACCTTCTAAAATTGTAATGCCGTTAAGGGAAAAAAAAAAAGAAAAGGAAGCCATGGTAAGTGCTCATAAATGTAAAATATACCAAGGTCCCCTAATTGTCTACGTCAATTTTTCATTTCAAAAGAAAACTAACTAATAAACTATCACTCGGATTTTTCATTTTGATAAACTAACCGTTAAAATCTGATGACAATTATAGTTGTCAAATTTCAAGCTTCTTGGAGTTAAAAGAGTTGTCTCATCCATATATTTACATTTATATTTCTGTAGTTTATGTTTTTCTAAAAATAAACAAAAACCAGTTTATAAAATTTTTGTAAATATAAACTGAAAACATAAACGTTACCAAACACACAAATATTTTGTTATGTTTTCAATTTGGAAATCTTTTTATCAAATGATAAGTGTTAATATTTGGTATTTTTGTGTGGAAAATATAAGATTTAATTTTTTTTATTTTTTTTTTAAAAAATCAAATTAAATATTTTTTTAATATAAAAAGTAATGAAATAATTTTGATAATACATAATTTTCTTATATGTATTTATTATTGGTATTTGACAATTTACTTGATAATTTTTTAGTTATATTGAGCTGGATTGTTATCTAAAAAAAATATTTATGAGTTGTTTTATTATATTCAAAATTTGTAAAAGTTTAAACTGCTAAATCGATTCGCATCTATCCGTCAATCTGCTCAATCTACATCTATCAATTCAGCAAATAAATACAAATTAATTTTTCCTAATTCATCAATTCAACAGATAGATGACAAATTAAAAATTTCTTAAACGCAACTGAACCGCGGACAGATAACGAATTAAAAGTTTCTTGACTGTAACTAAACACTAAACCGCGAGCAAGCCTGCTAGAGACAATAAAAATAATTTCTCTAAGCTTTTTAAACCAAACAAAGCCAATTATGGGTCCGTTTGGCAAGCAAGGTTGGGACTAAAATAGCCACAAAATATAAAATAGGTTATTTTAGTCACAACAAACAAAACATCACATCCAACCCATAATCATTACACTCTTCTCTCATAAAAAAAGTCAAAAAAGCTAAAAAGCCAAAAAACTCTTCTCAAACCAAATTTTTTAACCCAAGCTAAAATAACAAAAAAAAAACTAAAAAGTCAAAAAATCAACCCAGTTACCAAACGGAGGCTACATGACTTCCCATTATATAGACGGATAAATATATATCATTTTTATGTCATAATATTTTGTCGTTTTGTCAATTGTGGTGGGTGTTATTCACTGCCCAATCTCTCCCTGGCTTTGGATCGACTCTGCTCTTTCTTTTGGGTTCTTCTTCTTCTTCTTCTTCTTTGAAGTCACAAAACCCATTTTCACAGAAAGTTGGATTTTTTTGACCTAACTCTTATCTTCACATGGCTTCAATAGTCGCAAACCTGCCTTCACCACTGACCACCAGTCCGAAATTTACAGTCTCTGCCACTGAAGGTAAGACTTTAATTTTATCCATTTTGATCGATCAATTTAGTATTCTATCGCAAATCTTATCACCCATTAGACCAATCAACTGCATTTCGTTTGATGCAGGGGCTGAGCCAGGATTTCACCATTGGAGGGGCCAGAGAATGGGTCTGAGTGAGGACAATTTACCAACCCATTTGCAATTAAATTTAATTTTTTGAAATTATTATTAAAAACAATATTTCGTGCAGACCCATGAAATTTTACACTTCCAATCAAAAACTATGGATGTGAAATTGAGTGTGAAATTGTTCATAAATCATTGATAATCAATATATATATATATATATGCAAAGGAGGTTTAAATGAATTAGTATGGATTTCAATACTGTGTCCTAACATTTGATGGAATGGTTCAATTTCTGATGAGTTTCCTCTGTGGACTTTTGACAAACACATAACACACATTACATAGATTCCCCATAAAGAGAATTCACCATATTCTATTCAATGTGTATCTTCCACATACACAATAACATGAAATGAAATGAAAATGCATCAGAACCAAGTCTTTGTTCATACTCTTCTTCCCTTCGTTTTTGTACTTAAAACTTGAGCTCCCTTGCAAATAAGGGGATCATTTATTATTTTGTTGTGCTGTGTTGTGTGTTGTTCTTTGTTCATACTCTTCTTCTTCTCCCTCCGCCCTTTTGTTTGATGCTCTCTTGATAATGTTGTTTTTACATTTTATTCTGGTATAAAGTTAAGTTGGCACCATTAAAATCTAGGGTTGATACCTGCATAGATGTTGAATTCTAGCTACTTCATGTAACTAGTTGGCCAAATTCAGATTCAAAAAGGGAACCAGAATTGGGCTAATTTCAACTGAAACAGAAAAATTTTGGGAAATTTAGAAAGTTCAGTTGCCCGGTCTGGAAGATGTAATAGTAATAAAGAGTCAGCCTTCACCCAAACCATCGCCACAACATTGGGAGCACAGATTACACTCTAATAATGATAAACAAATAAATAATGGTACAAGTCAGGATACAAAAATGAAGCAATTGAAGGATTTATTCAGAGAGAGAGAGAATGTAGATTTATGTGTACAATCTGAGTTAAGGACGCTTGCAAATTAAGCTTGATAATGGAGTGTTGAATTCTGGTTGAATTTAGTCACTGAAGGTTAACTAACAAAGTTTGAGTTTAATTTATCTGATGTTCATGTTCCCAATGGTTCGTGACTCTGAAAGAATGTAATAATCTTGCTAGCAAGTGTTATACAATGATCAACCAGGAAAAAGCCACTTAAAGCATGAAAAGTGAGTTTGAGGGATTTCAGATTCTGTAAAACAGCTTTTGTGTCTGCATTATAACAGTTGGGGCTGCCCTAAAGCTTCCAGCAGCAAGATTTACCAGATCATTTCCCATGAATGAAATGTTACAGTGAGGGACTTTACATCACTCAATCTGATTCATTGTAGGCTTGCAGTATTCCATGGTTAGGTTTCGTTTCTTCTTTATTAATGGGTTTCTAATAATTTTCATTGCAGAGAGACAGAGTCGTGTTGCCATTGTTGTTAAGGCTACAGGTGAAAGCTCTGAATCTTCGACTTCTCTGAGTATTGTTAAATCCGTACAAAATGTTGTGAGTCCTCTCTCTCTCTCTCTCTCTCTCTCTCTCTCTCATAATTGTTTTATTGCCAATTGTTTTTAATAAAAAAAATAGTGAAACTATTTGGAAAAGAGTTACTTAAATGCATTGATATGCTTTTCATTTGATACACTTTGTTAATTCTTTTCTTGCTTCCTCCCTTTCATTCTGTTTTTTGAGAATTGCCTTTTAAAGTAAGTAGCATATGCAATGTTTATACTACAATCAAGGGAACATTTTTTATTTTCTTTGGCACTGCCTTCAGTCTAATAGATTCATCTAGCAAACAGTCATTATTTTTATGTGATTGTTCTTCTTTTTCTTCATAAGTTAAAGAAAGTTTGTGTACTTCATTCATATTCTGTTTTCTAATTACGCTTTTAATTTATTTGAGCAGTGGGATAGCTCTGAAAATCGGCTTGCTCTGATAGGACTGGGATTTGCTGCAGTTGTAGCTGTTTGGGCATCTGCAAATCTAATTACAGTAATTGCTCCAATCCTAATGTTACTAATCTTTATGGAATAATCGTAAAAATGTGCAGCAACAGGGTGACATGGAGAGATTTTTACGAAACAAGTTAAAAGACAATGAGCTATACACAATAGTAGTATGGCATTATGAGGAAGGGATGTCATAAAACAGTAAACATGGAGTAGACAGTCAATATTAGTCTTTTTATCATAATATTCAGATGTAAGCTGTACTAAATTTCAACAATTCAACAAGGCCTAAATCCCCTAATCATAATATAGAAAAAGGACTTAATACAAAAAGGACTTAATCCAATTCCGCTTAACCTGTTAAGGAAACAACTTTTTTCTGCACCTTATTTTCCAACATGAGTAATGTTGTGGTGACCATATTTAGGTACCACATTTGGGTACCATCTAAGTTCTGATGTAGCGTCTCACGGCACTCTAACCACATCAGGTAATCAGTGGCGGAGCCAATAAATTAAATCAGAAGGGGCACTTATTAATTACAACATTGAAAATTTTTACGATTAACTTCAAGAAAAATAAAAATAAATAAATAATAATAATGTTATTTGTAATTAGTGTATCATGGACAATATAAAAAAAAAAAGTCATGAATATAAGTTTTAAAATAAATTATATAATGATAAAGTAATTTTTTATACAAAATCTGAGTAAAAATTCAATATAATAGTAATACCACATTATCATTGACATGTGATATCACCAACCAATAGTAAAGAAATACATGGAGGATGAACCCCACATGTTAAATGTAATTAGAGGAGTGATGGAAACCCCCTTCAATCACCACCCCCACCACCCCCACACACGTGGCAGGTGGTGATTGGAGGACAATGGAAACAAAAAAAAAGAAAATCCAACCAATGAGAGAGAGAGGGGGTCAAAGGGGGTGGGAAAAAAAGGGGGTCTTAGACATTTTTGATGTAATTAACAATCTAATAAATTTCATATCTTTATTGAGATTAATTATGTTTGAATGTCAATAATAATAGACATCGCTATTATATTGAAATTTTCATAGGTAATTTCTTTATTTTCAATCAAAACAACCATTATTGTTCTCATAATTTTAAAAATGTCATTGGCATTTCACTCTAAATAATATTTTTATAAATTTTTTTATTTAAAATATTTTATTTTTTATATTTACAAAAAAAAAATTCCAAAAACCGGGAGGGGGGGGAGCATGTGACCCCCCTAGATCCTCTTTACCTCCACCTCTGGGTGATGGGCTCACAGAATATTAGTTTTGGTGCTTTTCAAATAACAGGTGGAACCCATTAGAAGATGTAGTTACTGCCATGTAAGGTGTCACATCAAATGGTACCCGAACGTGATCACTCTCTGGCATTACTCTTTCCAACATTTGATGAAATCAAGTCATGTGATAGTAGTCATTAGTCAATACTTGCAGCAGTATGATAGATAAAAGCAGTCCTCCGAATATGAACCAAAGTAGTGGTATCCTTATCAATGTTCACTGCAGTCTAGGGAGTTACTGTTGCCATTTGGAAGTTCCTGAGGAAATTTTAAGAGTAATTCTATACAGAATGATGTGGCAGAATTACAGACCTATCACTTTGAAGACAAACAACCCATTAAGATGATTATTAATATCAAAATTGCCGCGGACACATCATTCTTATCAATGATTCTGTATGCAAATTTGAAAAGAATAGCATTTTCCAATTTTTAATTGTGTTGGTTATGTTTGATGGTTTATCCCTTACTGCCTTTAATAAGATTTTGTTTTTTAAATATGAATAGGCAATTGACAAACTTCCTCTTATCCCAAGTGCATTTGAATTCATTGGGATATTATTTTCTTCGGTAAGAATTCTGACATAGTTTTGTTTTAATTGATTGGCTAAGAGACGAGGAAAAGAAAAATTGAAATTTTACAATAACTTTCCAGCCCCCAAGTTATTGTTAGATCTCAATTTCCCTTTTTGGTCTTTGGTCAACAGAGCAATGAAACGGAGTATCTTATTCATGCACTTCTGTTTTCCTGTTGAAAAATTAACTCAGGGTTCTCTCTGTTTCAGTGGTTCATATATCGGTATCTCCTGTTCAAACCTGACAGGTAAGATTTTCCAAGAGAAGAATGTTGTTTTCTATCATTAAACAAAGGAAACGTATGCATAATTTTTATAAAAACATAAAACTATGTCATATTGAGTATTTTACAATACCAAGGAAGACATATTCTTGGTTTAATCTTTCAGTTACACTTGACTTGCATATTTAATGAGAATAGAACAGAAATTCAATCCGTGGTGAATGAATTGGTTACAAAAGGATCTCTTTTTCTGTTAGTAACCTACTGATCTCTGTATGGTTGAATGGGAATCAGTTTTGCACTTGTGGTACTATCTGTATTTTTATTTTTATTTTTATTTTGATCAGAAACAATAGGAAAGTTTTATAGATAGAGGAGTACAAAATGAGAACAAGGAGTCTTCCTGAAATGAAGATAAACAAGATGCCTAACAATAGAGAACAAACTATACATCACAAATAGCTCTCCAATCTCTCGATATCGAAAATTGCAGAATCCCTTTAAATGCTGGCGAAACGGAGGCCTGAAATGATGCCAACACTCTACCCCACAATGACTCCCTATGTCAACTTGTCCTCAAAGATCCATGCTTTCCTTTCCAACCAAATAACCCAAAAGATTGAGAATACCGCACAAAACGACAACACGTTTGCTCTCTTTTTATGTCTGAATCCTCAGAAATCAATTAAAATCAATTGCACACTAGTGCCTGGTACCACCCAAAAGTATCAACCAAACAAAAGAGCTGATGCCAAAGATCCAAAGCCACATGACAGTGCAAGAATAAATGCTCCAAAGCTTCCCCACTCTACCTACACATGATACACATTGAGGATAGAGATAGCAATTAGGCCTCCTTTTTTGAAAGGTGTCATTAGTCATGATTCTACCGTGAGCCAAAAAGCACATAAATATCTTCACTTTAAGATTCACTGCTGCTTTCCAAATTCTTTTGTGAATAAAAAAAAGGAACGTTGGGCTTGTTAATGATTTTATCAAAGGGGGATTTGTTTGAAAATACGCCACTTTTGGTGGTCTATACAGGTATAATATGTCCGCCTCGTGCTGAATATAATAGGGCGGGTGATTGATATGGTTTCTTTGCAGTAGCCACATTTTGCTTTGAGTTTTGATATCATCTCTGTTACTGTGTTCCACAGGGAAGAGCTATTGCAAACCGTTAAGAAGTCTGTATCAGATATCTTGGGCCAGTAATTTGCAGGCGGGTGAGAAAGCCTGTGTAATTGAGAGTGTATTTCTGAATATTAGAATTGTATTTTGGGTTCATGTTTGTTGTTGTAGCAATGAAAAATCTATGCAGCAATTGCACAATGGGAATATTCAGCTTTCAGTAGTGTATCTTGTAAACAACACTGAACTCAAACTCATGTTGTTTGCTTAATGGTGTACTAAATTTCAGCCTTCTTATTTCACCCATCTTTTTTTCTTTTTTAAAATTTTAAAGATTGGGAAGCCATTGGAAGAAGTATGGAGGATAAATTTACTGATATAAGTGGACTGAAATGTTGAAATTGTCGGAGAACCACAAATGAAATTGTATTAGGGAACGAAAAAAAAAAAAATCATGTCCAAGAAAGAGGTGATGTGAATATATGTTCAGTTCGGTGATTTTGTTTATTTTTTGGGAAAAATACATATAGTGGAATTTTGAAAAAATAATTATAAATTGATGAAAATTTTAAAATTTTAATTATTAATATTTATAAGATTTATCATTAATTTGTAACAATTTTTTTAAAAATACACTGATTTGATATTTTTCCTATTTTTTGCTTCCAACCATGAACAAGCTATCTAATGGCGGAGCCAAAAACCTAAATTAGAATGGACAGTTATTAATTATAATTACAATTTTTTTTCCATAACCAACAATAAAAAAAATAATAGTAATTTTTTAATTAATGTTAAGTACATACATTTAAATAAATTATTACAAAAGTATTTCACATAAAATTTTACAATTAACTTTGAGTAAAATTGAAAAGAAAGTATTACGTATAACTAGTTTATCATGAATAATGTAAAAAAGTCATATTTAAGTCTTAAAATAAAGTATATAATGGTAATTAAATTTTTACAAAATTTGAGTAAAAGTTTCATATAATAGTAATATCACGTCATCATTAACACATGATATCACCAATCAATAATAAAGTAACATATGAAGGGTAAACTTCACATACAAATATAACTAACACTAACTTTTACATATATGTAGTGAAAGTAATTATATTTACATATTAATAACGATAAATATTAGCTTGATATTGAGATTTTTTTACAAAATTTTCGTACATACAAATATAATTTGTTGTAGTCCCTTCATTTTCAATAAAACAATCACTATTATTCTTATAAATTTAAAAATACCAGTTACATTTTATTCTAAATATTATTTTTATTTAAAATTTTATTTTTATATATGGTAAAAAAAATGGCACATGACCCCTTATCACCATATGACTCTGCACTACAACTATTTACAACTGAAAAAGCCAACACATTCTCTCACTCTTTTGCAAGTCTTTTCATAAAAAATTAGAGATTAAATAAAAAGCAACCCAAATTAATCCTTAATCATTCAAAAAATAGAGATTATAAATAAAAGATAAAAGGTGGACTCCATTTTTGGGTTGTTCTCATGAGAGGCTCACCCGGCAATATTTGAGTGATGAAAACAGATGGAGTCCTATTGTACCCATCTTACTCTACCACCATACCATCCAATCCTAGCCTTTCCCTCCACTAGCCGTTACTATCCCAACAGTTTTTCAAAACCTCTCTTACTTCTTCTTCTTCTTCTTCTTCTTCTTCTTCAAGTTTTCAAATGCTGCTTCAAACCACCACAAAACTAAAAAGACCATCTCTGTCTCAGTACACACTCCTCTCCTTTCTCATCAACCCCACAATCTCTGATTCATCATCTACTGTTATTCACCACCAATCCCAATCCCCATATCACTCTGTTCCATCACCAATTGATACCAAATCTGTCCTCCAATCTTGCATAGCTCGAAGAGCGCTTGAGCCCGGAAGACAGCTTCACGCCCACCTCTGCCTCACCGGCCTAGGACACGATACCAATTTAGCCACCAAGCTTGTCAATCTGTACTGTGTTTGCGACTCTTTGTGTAATGCACACCACCTGTTTGATAGAATTCCCAAGAACAATATCTTTCTTTGGAATGTTTTGATTCGTGGGTATGCGTGGAATGGGCCTTATCAGGTTGCAATCTCTCTCTATTACCAAATGCTTGACTATGGTATAGTACCCGATAACTTTACGTTCCCATTTGTCCTCAAAGCGTGCTCGGCGCTCTCTGCAATTGATGTGGGTAGGGACGTTCACGAGCACGTGATACGTACTCGGTGGGAAACGGATGTCTTTGTGGGTGCAGCTCTTATTGATATGTATGCAAAGTGTGGTTGTGTTGGCGATTCTCGGCGAGTATTTGATACAATTCACGTTAGAGATGTTGTACTTTGGAATTCTATGCTTGCCGCATATTCCCAAAACGGGTGCCCAGAGGAATGCTTGTCTCTTTGTGGCGAGATGGCATCGAATAGTGTGAGACCAACTGTTGCAACTCTTGTCACCGCTATCTCATCTTCTGCTGATATTGCTGCCCTTCCGCAAGGGAGGGAGCTTCATGGGTTTAGTTGGAGACATGGGTTTGAAATTCAAGATAAGGTGAAAACTGCCCTAGTTGATATGTATGCAAAAAGCGGTTCTGTAAAAGTTGCTCGAAATTTGTTCGAGCGGCTTATGGAAAAAAGAATTGTTTCTTGGAATGCTATGATTACTGGGTATGCAATGCACGGTCATACTACCAAAGCACTTGATTTGTTTAAGCAGATGACCGGAGAAACTTGGCCAGATCACATAACGTTTGTTGGTGTTTTGTCAGCTTGCAACCATGGAGGTTTGCTCGATGAAGGGAAGGAGTTCTTTGAATCGATGATGAGAGATTACCGTATAGAACCAACTGTTCAGCATTATACATGCATGGTTGATCTCCTTGGGCATTGTGGTCGGTTGGATGAGGCTTATGATCTTATATTGCAAATGAGAGTGATACCGGATTCTGGCATTTGGGGCGCTTTGCTCAATTCATGCAAAATCCACGGAAATGTGGAATTAGGAGAACTGGCATTAGAGAGGTTGATTGAACTTGAACCGGACGATGCGGGCAATTATGTCATTTTATCAAACATTTATGCTCAAGCCGGTAAGTGGGAAGGAGTTGCAAAGCTAAGAAAACTAATGACAGATAGGGGACTAAAGAAAAGCATTGCTTGTAGTTGGATTGAAGTGAAAAACAAAGTCCACGCATTTCTTTCTGGAGATACATCGCATCCTATGTCTGATGAGATATATGCAGAATTGGAAAGGGTGGGAGGGCTAATGGCAGAGGCTGGCTATGTCCCAAACACAGCGCCTGTTTTTCACGATGTAGACGACGATGAGAAGACAAGAATGGTTTGTAGTCACAGTGAAAGGCTAGCAATTGCATTTGGACTTATTAGCACGCCCCCTGGGACCAAGCTTTTGGTAACCAAGAACCTCCGGGTATGTGAAGACTGCCATGTAGCAATCAAGTTCATTTCGAAAATTACGCAAAGGGAACTTATCATCAGAGATGTCAATCGATATCATCATTTTAAAGATGGCGTGTGTTCTTGTGGTGATTATTGGTGAACGGAATGAGAAATTGGTATAACTACTCTGGTTATGAAAGTATTACCTCTGTGAAATGTTTTCAGAATTCAAGAGCTAACCTGAAAAAATATTAAGAAAATGATAACTCAAATAACAAATTGAGGGGAGGAAAAGAAATGGATGCTTATACAAAGAGATGCAGATCCTTGTTGATGTGGATTATCTGGATTGCAGCCAGAAGTTTGCAATCAATTTGGATGATTTAGAGATGTCTACATTGAAATAATTAGGGACGATTAGTGTAGTAGAATGGCGGGTCTGGTCAGTTTGATGGTGGGTTGGCTTTCTTGATTTGCACCTAAACCAAGCCACATAAAAAATGTTTTTGGCTGCCCAACCCACACTGGCAACACTTTTAAACTGCACAAGGCAGAGCAGGTCAAGCAGGTTGGCCGGTATTTTGTACAACCTTAAGTCATACAATTGATTGATTGTTCGTTCTTTTTTTTTTTAAGTTATTATTTTTCCTGGCTGTCCAAATTGTACTCTAAAGTTTTGAAGCTTATGATATTGCTGCATTAATTTTTGCTGGAGCACGATGACTTACTGCAGTAGGTTTTTGACCTTTTTTTAGCTTTTAGTTTTGGGTTTTTGTAAACCCACAAAAAACCAACACTGAAACTGTTAGAATTTACCAATTTGCTCCTCCACCTACCATCTCCCCTAGCACCCACTTCACCTACCACCTCCACTACACTACACCTACTACCACCTTCTCTTCTATATATAGGAGTTGTAATACATAACACAATATCAGAAATCAATCTTGTAATATGTACAACATCAATACATCAATCAATAATACATAAATTTTTACATGGTATCAGAGCCATAAGATTTAGGCCTGTATTTTGTTTTCTCACCGGCGGGCAGCCGGCCGGCAACCTTGCCTTCGCTGCCCGCTGGAATTTTAGAAACAGAGGGTGAAACCAAGCCATGCTCTGTCTCTGTTTTCCCTCAACAACAACAACAACAACAGGGAAACCCAACCTCTCCCTTCTTCTTCTCAGATCAGACCTCCATCAACTCGCTAGATGTGGAGGGTCCGGTCAATGAATGGCGGGATCGTGAGATCAAGACCATGAGTCATATCAGACCATGTGTTGACAAAGTGGAGACCAGAAGCTCCGTCTGCCACGTGGTGTTGCATACCTACACCAAGTGATACACCCCCGCATTTGAAGTATGTCACCTGCAAGACGAGCAGAGGATACGACGAAATCCCTCCGGAATAATCGACGGTCGGAATGAGCTGCCGGAGCTCCAGAGTCGGTGCGAAGTCTCCGAAATCATCAACACACGCCTCCGTAACCGCCTCCACGAACAGAACTCCCTCGGCGTTGCAATCGATTTCGATTCGACCGTCCTCGTCTCTACCGAGCCGCCCCGCCATGGGGTAGAACGGCACGAGCGCTCTGCTCAGCCCTAGCTTCATCGTCTGTGCATCGAAGAAGTTGATCGAACCATTCGGTTTGTAAAAGTAGACGCTCGGTGTGTGGAAACTCGGCACCACCAGGTCCACGTTCGAGTTCCACAGCCTCACCGCCGGAGTCTCCTCCGCCGGCCTCACCATCGTCGATTCCCTCACTTCTATCTTCATTTTCTTCCTACTTCCCACCGCCGGCGCCGTGCTAAATTGCGCAGCCTCTCCTGTACCAGTACAGTCAATTAGTTTCTTCGCCTTTGAGCTAAAATGATTTTTATTTCATCTGGTTCTGTTTTTCATTTGTTCAAAACAAAATCAATGGAATCATGGAGTAGAATTTTTTTTTTTTACTTGATAAAGTTTTGCTTTCTTTTTGTCCTCTCTTTACTGCCATCAACCGGAAAATAGGATTGAACATCTACAAATAAGCCAGTAAAGATAGGAATGGTATTCCATTATGCCAAGGATTTTTGCTACCTTGTATAGTTGGCTACTTGAACAAGGAATGATATGTATAAATTTGTAACAAGAAACTGTAGGAGAATAGATGGAATAAAGGGGCAAGTATTATGAATTAATTCTTCAAAGTCGTTTGCCACAACTAAACTAAAACATTTTATTACACTCCATTGAGAGAGCCAGATTAATCCATGGCACAAATTATTACCTTTTGCAAGAATATGTTGTGGACAGATGCCCTTCAATCTGAGTACTTAGCTTCTACAAATCTTGTGCAAATTTTGGTGTCATGTTCCCATTTTCAGCACGTTTCGCCACCCTCTGTTGGCATACTCTTAAAAATGGCTGGTACTGCATTTATGATTTTTTACGTTGCCATTGCCTGCAGTTTCTCTTTTGCTCAGCATTTCAGTTCCAGGATTTTCAGTTCAATTGTTGACAGATTCATTGTTTTTTGTTTCAGCTTTAGCTGACAAAAAGCATTCTGTTTCTGCAATGCCGATAAAAATGATAAAAGTCATCAATTACAGGGAAAATGTGCAGTCCAGAGAGGAGAATAAAATAATTGACAGCTTTGTGAGACTACCCTAGTATTCTTGTAAAATGATGAAGAAATTAAAGTTTGGCAATGATATACATGATTTCATTCTGAACTGGTCACAAGTTGACCAACGTAAGCAGCATAATGGAAAAGCATTGCGTCATCATGGTATTCTAATTCATGTACATACATAGACCAGTCAACTAAAAGCTTTTTAACATCTTCTGGTATTTAATTTAAGCTATGCAATACATAACTTCAATTTGATTGGAAATTAAACAGAGGAACAGTAAGATTATTAAGATTACTAGGCCAGGGTGCAAGTCCTCCTCCGCCAATGCATGTATGGCACATTTTTGGCGTAAAAGGATTAACCCCACTTAGCAATTAAGTTTAGGATTTATTAGGGTCTACCAAATTCAAAGACAAGATCAACTGAAAGAGACATGTTAAAACTTTTTAACAAATAATAGTTTTATCAATCTAGGTCCACTAAAGGGTATTCTTCAACATTTACTAGTAATTGGAACTACTTAAAAAGGATGAGATGTGATAACTACCTTTCATATTTCCACGTGTGATGAGCCTGTTAAGACAATTCTGGAATTTTACCAACACAAGACTTTCCTGCTCTGCATAGACATCTGTGTTGGAGACATGGTTCTTTATCTGGTCTGAGGAATCATCTGGCATGAACGACATATCTTTCTCATCACACAGCAATGAAAGTGTTCTAGGAGACATTGGCACTCCTTTATGTATCTCAGCATCACCAGAGTGGGTATCACCATTGCTAGTCTTATTTTCCTGATCCCTGACCAAATAGTCATTTGGCATAACATTTTGAATCTCCGGTGTTTTGAGGCAAGTCTCCCCATCTCGATTAGCAAGAGAACTTGCTGTCTCGTTTTCCCTCACAGTTTGTACATTGACAGAACCATTTTGATCTGGAAATGATAAATACAGTACATGAATGAGAATAACTTTTTGTTAATGATATTTAGATGCACAAGCATTAATTGAAACTCAAAAATATTTCAGATCAAGTAAACAAACATTAGCTAAGTAAAATTTGGGATGAACTAGTACACATGAGCAAAACCAAGATGATAAAAACACTTGATTGAGGAACACGCCTAACAACGAGAAGTAAAACAAGAAGACAAATTCAAATTGGCAAAACCTACAGGAGGAATAAATCAAAAAGCCATTGAAAATGAGAATTTGTATGGGACGGAATGTTAGGCAACTAAGAAACAGCATGTAGAGAAAATGAGTGTTGCTGAGATGAGGATACTAAGATGGATGTGTGGCAAGACTAAAAGAGACAGAGATAGAAATGAGTATATTCGAGAATGGGTAGGAATAGTACCGATAGAAGATAAGTTGAGAGAGAATAAATTGAGATGGTTTGGTCATATACAACGGAGACCAGTAGTGAAGAGATGCGATACAGTGATAGTAGATGGCAGTGTTAGGGGAAGGGGTAGACCTAGATTGGCGTGGACTAATGTAGTAGATAGAGATATGAATCTCCTTAATTTGACTAACGAAATGGCCTTGGATAGAGTCGAGTGGAGAAGAAAGATTCAAATAGCTGACCCCATTTGATGGGACTTGAAGCTTTGTTTGGTTTGGTTTATTGAAAATGAAAATCTGAGGAACATGACACAATTACTTTAGTTTCTGCTAGCCAGTAACAAGTATTGACATCCAGGTCTAACTAATCAAACCAAACTCGTAATTGTGCACACACAGACTTATAAAAGCTATGATCTAGCAGCAAAAAGAATGGACGGACCAAAGTATTTTCGGAAGTTTTTGAATCTCCCAAAGTTCACCCATTTGGCACACAACTACATATATTAGCTCTGGCCAATGTTAATGTTTTGATTACTTAAAACCAAGATAATAACATTTCATAAACTGTTAAAACCTTACACACAAACTTCAATCCAAAAAAAAAAAAAAGGAATTTTTTCTTACGACACCTGCTAGAATCTTAGCAGTTTGTGACACCAACACCAAAGCCGAACAAAGCTCCCTCATGTCTTGCTGTTGGATGGTACCTGCTAACAAGGACCTGCAGCCATGACAAGCAATTCTAGTTAGTTCTTATCGGAAAACGATTTTATTGTTTTTTAGTCTGCAAGCAACAGCAATGCAAGCAAAGGTATAAACCTGTAAATGATCTTTGAAGAAGCCAATGCTGCAGAACCAACAACCTGATCAGAAATGATTTAATTAACTTTAATTTAATGAAAAGAACTACTATTATGCTTCCATGAGTTTCAAGCACAGCTTCGATTCCTACACTCGAAGATGCATGATCAAAGCCATCTAACATGGAAAGTAAGATTCTTGCAGCATATAAAAAATTAAAAAAATTAAAAAAAACAAAAAGAGAGAAAAGAAGAAGAAGAAGAAGTTAATTCCCGTGTTGTTGGACATGAATATGCGGCTACTTACACTGATACTGATAATAGATCTGTTGAAAATGAACACCTTCTCACATGAAAAGGACGTACATGACATAGAAACTGGATACATGTTATTAACACTTGAACAGCTAGGTTTTTTTTTTTTTTTTTTGGTCCGATGGGAATTTTCTTTTAGTTAAGATGATAAGAATGTATTACCTGCTGATCTTGTGTGAACCTGCAAATTGGTGGACCCTCCCTATTTGAACCAAGAAAGCTATCCAGATATTTCCTCTTCCTGGGTTTTTGAGAGAACCTATAGCCAGAGAACCCAACAGCATCAGTTATGGCAGAATTTGTCTGCTTGATGAAGGCAGTGGATTTAGTATTGCTCCCATTAGAAAGAGCCAACCTCTCTTCACATTTTCTGAAATTCTTGCAGCCTACACATTTGCAATTCTCAGAGCAAAGGATTTTAGCTTGGAAGCACTCACAATACCTCTTGAGGCACCCTGATTTTTTGCAGTGGCATCCTTTGTGTTTTACAACTGGCAGAGTACTTTTTGCTTCATCCTAGGTTTGTTTCAGAGCAGTTCAAATGCAGTCAAATACCCAAAATAAGAAAATGAAAGGTAAAAGGTGTTTGATAGCAAACCAATATATATGCTGAGGCAATGAATTATATCGACTTTATAACAAGAAATCAAAACCTTAATTCTTAAGTAGACCTCAAATTACAAAAGAAAAGGAATTGCCTTGAGCAAAAACTTTTCTTAAGAAAACAACTGCACATTGTCGCAGTTTAGCCATTAATTAATAGGATCATTTCAAGCAATTGGCCTACCATGTATAAGATATGTCTTAGAATAATGATAAAAATTTGATTAGAGATAATAAATTTTTCTTTATCATTATTTAAATTGATTTCAGTGTTTCATGGTTGCAACTTTCCAACTAAATAACAACCTGAATTACATTGAACAAAGAAAAGGCATTCTGAGTAAATGAAAGATGAAAAATGGCATGAATGTGGACACAAACACGATTGATTTCGGTGTTCAACACAAATACAACACCTTCTTAGAAGTGTTTGTGCTTCTTAGAAAGGCTTATCTGATGAAAGATGAACTAGATCATGTCATGTTTAATTTGTCTCATTAACTTCACGTGAGTTATGAATAACAGAAGCAGAAAGCTCCCAAGAGCTGTAGCTCTTGTTGCTAAAACCGCTCTGTCAATTTCCAATTTTGGACACAAAATTAATGGAAGTGGGATAATTTCATTAATGCTTGAGTTAGCATAAATGTATTATGTTAATAGGTATGACATTTTGTTCAAGTCACATGGCCAGCCATGAAAAATACAGAAGCCAGAAATCCATTCAGCCAGAGAAATGATTTTTTCAAAACCATTAAATTACAATGCCATACCTCATTATCATTAGTTCTGTGAGGACTATTGGCAATAATCTTTGGCTTGAATGCATTTGGATTACGCTCTAAGGTAGATTCCATAGCTATTTCCCTAGCAGCCTCATTCTCAACATTATTTTGACAATTAATGCAGCTGCACCCATTACAGTATGTTCCAGAAGCAAAACATTCACAGTACCTGACCATTTTGTGAATTAGCATTATTAGTAACAAAATATAACCAAAGAAAATATATGGAAGAATATTCTAGGAATACCAACTCCCTAGTCCCTTCTTAATTCATCATCATTAAAGAAATAAAGAAAAAGAAATGAGGATGTTGTAGTTTGAGTTGGTTTGTCTGTACAATTAATCTAACACTAACAGAACTGCTCAAGTAACATTAGTGATTTTGCAAGAGTTCGAGACCAAGAAACAATGGTGCGGTGATTTAAAAAGCTAAGTTATCAAAACAACATTCCAATCTTAACTGTGCAATGAATATAACAGAAATACATAAGTGACATTAGTGATTTTGCAGGAGTTTGAGACCAAGTAACAATGGTGCAATGATTTAAAAAGCTAAGTTATCAAAAGAACATTCCAATCTTAACTTCAAGCATTAACCATATGCATACCAAGAGGTAAAACACTTACAACTTTAAGCATCTTGATTGTTTGCACTTGCAACGTTTTTGTTCCTTTGTAGCACCATCTATGAGTTCCCTGTCAGTATGTGATTGTACACTTGAGCACCCTGAGTTACTATTCAAAATATCAAAGAAACATCTTAAGAGTCGCCACAAATTTCTGAACTTGAAATCAAATATTTTCTACAATGATTGTGCAGCTCTAAGAATTGCATTGTACTCAGTACCCAACAGATTCATGTTCCTACCAGATAACAATTAAAGAGATAATTTAGGCATTATTTCAGGAGAGTAACACAATTTCTAGGTAGCAAACAAATGGGACACGAAATTTATTCATATGTAACAATTAATATTTTGAATAGATCCAATGAGTAACAAACAGAAAAATTGAGTTCAAACTCCTCAATTTGGTTGCTGGGAAACAGGAGAACATCAAAAAGAAAAATAAATTTCAAATCTTTTTTCACTTAATCAACATCAAATTTTCAAGAAAATTAAAATCATTAACTTAAATGAGTCTTGCACAATTTTTTCTCAAATTTCTTTTCCTCGTTTTCTTGGCAACCAAACAAGCCTTGGAAAAAAGGCCATACTTCATCAATGAACAATCACTCATTATTGAGTCATTGAAGAAAAACCTACATTTCAGGCAATGGTGAATGAGGAGAACGACACGGAGGCAGATTCAATTCGGTCTTGGACTTTCGCTGTGACTTCGATTTCTCCAGCGGCGCAACCTTCAACGATAAACCGTTTTGGTTAGCGAAATCCAGCTGCCTAGCAAGCTTTTTTGGCGGGAAACCTGGTTTCTCTGCTTCTCGCTCCATACGAATCTACGAACCGAACCCTTTTTGGCGGGAAATCCTCATTCTCACTTAGTTCGGTGACGACCAACACCTGGAGCGAAGACGACAGAGATCAACATCAAATCAAATCAAATCAACACTGATCAACTCAACTCAAAGCATTAGCATCAAGGAATCGTCAATACTTTCAAGAAAGAGTTCAAATTCAATCAGATATCAATCCGAAGAAACAGAGAACTCGGTTTACCGGCGGAGAACGGCGAGAGATTCCGGCGATGGCATGAGTTCCGGCGAACTCGGAATCGAAGAGAGTGATGTTTTTGGTGCGAAAGATTTTTTGGAAGCAAAGTTTTGAAATTTAAGGGGAGAGAGAGAGAGAGAGAGAGAGAGAGATGCGTATATATGATCAGAATGAATGAGATATGAGAGAGGTGAGAGAGGCGTTTTTGTATTGCGTTTCATTTGATTTTGATTGGAAGCATAAATTTTGTGAATAATGGACGGTGTGATGTGAGTGGTGGTTTCATCCGACGGTGGACATTTAATTTGGTGATCCCATTGTTGAAATTCAAATATCTTATGATTGTGATTTGTGAGCTTGTATCCTAAGATTTAACCTTCTTTCATTTTGTTTTTTGGAAAAATTCCTGTACAATTTTTGTTTTCTATAATTAATTTAAAGACACTTTAAAAACATTTCAAAACTCAAGTTCTTAGGATATTAAATCAAAAATATCACCATACCCTATAAAGTAATTTTTTTTTAATGTTATTTATCTACTCTTATTTTTCTTTCTATTCAAATACCTTGAACAAGTTGCTACTTACGAACTCAAACCCCTGTGGAATACTACTTTATTTTTTTTTTGACTATTGCATCTTCCATCTTTTCGCATCTCTTTAACCTTCTTGTTAATATATATTTACAGAGTCACATGAAGACCACCATGTGTTGAACATTACCTTATCTCTAGTAGTGTTGATTATTTTTTAATTTAATCTTTACCAACGATGATCTAATGGCACTACTACTCTCGCAACATAGTCTTAACCATCTTGTTGTTCTTCTGTCTCTTTCTACTAATCTAACTTTTTTTATTATTTTTTATTGTTTTGGAAAGTCGGTTACAATAAAAAATTGAAAAAGTACACTTATATATTATATTCCAAACAGTTTGAAATACACATGGAAAAAAATAGAGATAAAGAGTATATAGAGAAATGAGACATAACAAAGAGAGATAGAAATTAGTCTAGTCTCGCTAGATAGCTCGAAAGAGTCATGGCTCGAGTGTCTCATTTTTCTTTCTCTCTCTCTCTGTGTTGTTTGTTGTTTGTTGTTCTGTCTCTAGAAAAAAGAAGACGACAAGGAATTTCCAAAATCACACAGAACTTCATCTTCCTCAAGATCACCATCACAGATCCAAATTCACCATCACATGGAGCTTCACTCCTTTCCTTCATTCTTCACTTGGAATCTTTATGACCAAAACCAACACTGAGCTTCATCTTCCTCAAGATCCAAAATCAATTCCTCAAGATCACCATCATAGATCCAAAATCACCATCACACAGAGCTTCACTCCTCTCCCTCATTCTTCACTTGGAATCTTTATGACCCTCTCAAAGCTTCATCTTCCTAAAGATCCAAAATCAATTCCTATTTCCTAAAATCCAAAATCAAAACCAAACCCATTGAATAAGAAGATAATCAGAGAAGAGAAGATCAGCTACAAAAAGAGATTAGAAAACTCACCAGGGAAAAAAAATAAAGAAGAATTGGAGAAAAAACTCAACGGAAGATCGAGCTTTGTCGGTTGAATCGCTGCCTTTATTCTTCGAATGTGTTTGTGAAAATACCAAAAGAATTATATTTTATTGATAAATAATTTAAATAAATAAAATACAAATAGATCAGACTGAGACACAGATATCTCGTTTTCTTTAAGAAGATCAAGCCCACTGCGGTAGGAAGAACTCAAATACCGATGCAACAGTCACAAAACTATGACTTGTTCCCTCTAGGTAGGGGTGAGCAACGGATATACCGATCCGCCCAATCAGACCAAACCGAACCGATTCGCCGCATTTTGGACGGATGCGTGATGACGAGCGGACGGTTGCGGATTGATTTTTTCCAATCCGCCTAGTTTTTGACGGATGGAGGATTTGAGGTTCCTTTAGCCGCAACCGAACCGCCGAACCGTGAGCATCTCTAGTAAGGCCAAGTTTGGGAAGACTAAATAAGTGCACTTTTTATCTTTTTAGACTAAAAAGTTGAGGTTGAAAATATGAATGTTTGGGTTAACTTTTTGACTTTTTATGGAAAAATGTGTAATAAAAAATTGTAAAAATTGATTTGTAGGAGAAAATTAGAATTGGGAGTTGTGCAGCCGTAATTGTTGACTTTTGGTGAATAGTGATAATTTTTTAACTTTTTGAGTAACTTTTTGGCTTTTTGGCTTTTTGGGGTGTTCCCAAACTTGGCCTAATTTATAAGATTTTGTGTTTTCAATTTATTTAGATATTCTATTTGTGTTTTCAATTAAAAAGAGTTTAAATATTCTGTTGAATATATTCTGTTGAAAAAGAGCTTTCAACTTGAATATTTTTTTTGAATTGAAAAAAAATAAATGTATTATTTATTTATATTTTTTTTTATTTTTAAATCTAACTCGAAAAATAATGGTTTTTGTTTTGAAAAGCAGATATAGATGTAACAATACAAAGACATACAATCTCTACTACTGCTCTGTTCGTGGTTGTGGTGGTTTGAATTGTTTTTATATTTTAAGAACCACAAATTGTAATACTTTATGATGATGTGATTATAATATGTGGATGAGGCATACAGTGATTGTAATATTCTAAAGTTTCAAACTTTATTTCTTTGGATGAAACATCCAATGATTGTAATACTTTTTAAAGTCATTGAATGTAATACCTTTCTTTTTTTTTTTGTAGGAAGTGCACAAGTTGAATTATGTTGAAAATTTATAAAATTTTAAACCGCCAAACCGATTCGCATCCATCTGTTAATCCGCCAATCCGCTCAATCCACATCCGCCGAATTGGCGGACGAATGTGGATTGATTTTCTCAAATTCATCAATCTAGCGGACGGATGGCGGATTTGAGGTTTCGTGGCCGCAATCGATTGTAGACGTCCCCCGAACGCCCCGGGAGGAACGAGTCCCGTTCTGTTCATTTGGGGTTCACTACAGTTCGGACTCTCAAATTGTCACGGTTCTAAATCTGAACCAAAGAGTCCAAATCTGGCAAATCATTTTTGAGAAAACAGATTTTTTTAGAAAATAAGTGCCAAACATGGACTGCTTTGCCAGATACAGAATCGCCACCTAAATGTTTTATTTTGGGAAAATTTAGGAAACCCTGACTCGTTTGCCTAAGGCCACGTGTCCGTCATCATCAAAGTTACCTCGGCTCGGGAACTTGGGTACGATTAGGGAAGGTCACTTCGTGAGCACCCCTGCTCGCCCGATCGAAGATCGGCCTCTACTAACCATGATATCGAGTTTTGAAAACATTATGTGTTCTTATTCCGGTTATTAGCCTAGATTTACTATGTGATGCGCACAGCATACAAGTATAGGCTGGATCGCCTGAATTGAAACAAAACATTTCATGTTTGTTTGTTTAAAAATGGTTTGATGGTGCTACCCGCAAGTAGGCTAAGACGTGGATTTGCCACCCTCGGGTGGGCTTAGAAAACATGATTTTGCCACTATCTAGTGGGCTTAAAACTCATAGTTGATGAATTGTTCCAATCCAAATAACTCAACCTTCACCCACAGGTATTCAAGCAGTTATATCACATAAGCATATAGCCTCATGGTAAGTATGCTATCCATGGCAATCACTCACACGCATGCAAGGATGCTAAAGCATAAAAACTTACCGAGTACTCCAAGCCAAAACAGAAACTATGTTAGAAATCCATGCATAATCCTAACTATACAGAAATGCCTAATGCAACACATGCAAAAATGCAACTAATATAAGCTCGGCTATTTTAAACATGGCATATGAAATGCTACAGCTAACATGTATTCAACTTGGATTTGAAAATACAATGCAGTTAGCATAATGCGCCGAGCCCGGTGCATGCAAAACAGATGAATGAATGCAAACATGCTATCATACTGTATGCTAATTGAAACATGCCCTAATCTAACCATCATAAGCGGGTAAATAAAAGGGAGAAAGACGTGGGGTTGGAAGACATACATCACACACACACACTTATTACAGTTGTACCCTCGCGCAGAGGGTCCGAATAAATAATATACAGTCCCGAATGAATAATTACAGTCCAAATAATTATAAAACCCTAATTAATTAACAAATTTAACTAGGAAAACAATAAATTGGCATGCAAGCCAGGGATTGCCTCAACTCTGATCCGGATAATGAATGATGCATGCTCGGGTTGCCTTGTGCGGAGAATCCCTCGCGATGCCCCGGTTTGCCTCTGTCACGACCCAAACCCGGCCCTATGGGTTTAGCACCGTAACCGGCCAATAATCCTAGATTACCGAAGGCCTGCAGAACAGTAATACAGTAAAACAGAGTACAGGGCCCGGCGGAAGCCAATACAGTAATTAAATAATGTCCATTGAGCTGTGACAGTCTGCATGCCAAAAAGATTTTTCATGCATTCATACATACAACCGTACAGTCCCGTACAGTCTATACAAAATTTACAGTCACACAGTACAGGGACCAAATCCCTTGATAACAGTACAGTAGCAGCTGACAGTCTATACAGTAAACCAAACAGTAAGACAGACGGGGGAAAACAAAACACCCCAAAGCCATAGCATGGCAACTCGGAACCTCGCAGCGAGGCACAAAGGCTGGCTTGACAAAACTGGAGTCTAACCCGCGCTCCTAGCTCCGATTTGGTGGCTGAGCACCTACATATATATAAATAGTGAGCTAAAGCCCAGTGAATAGCATAATGTGTAAGGAGGTTAAGAATGAAATGTCCTTACAGTAATGAAATCAGTTCATTAAACAATACTTCAGTCTTTCAGTCAGAACAGTTATTCAATCATATGTGGTACATCCATTAGCATAACAGTAAACAGTAGGTCTTAAAGACCGAATAGTAATGACGGCCATCAATCAGTAAACAGTAGTGGTTCCATGAGGGAACCGACAGAGATCTCTGTAACAGTAACAAATCAGTTCATTAACAATACTTCAGTCTTTCAGTCAGAACAGTTATTCAATCATATGTGGTACATCCATTAGCATAACAGTAAACAGTAGGTCTTAAAGACCGAACAGTAATGACGGCCATCAATCAGTAAACAGTAGTGGTTCCACGAGGGAACCGACAGAGATCTCTGTAACAGTAACAATCAGTAACAGTAGTTGCTAAGGATGCCACAATACAG